GATGCTCCTGCCAGGCTGCATGAGAGTTGGGCTCAGCCTAGGACAGAAGCAACAGCAACAATGGCAGCAGGCTGGCAGGGAACACCCAGGGGGACCAGGGAGTGAGGGGAGCCACAGGGCAAAGTCCAAAAACAGAGCCAAACCAGGGTCAGAGCCAGAAAACAGAACCTCAGGAAAAACCAAACCCCAGAAATAAGACAAAAAACAGGGGAACTAGAGTGCAGAAACCAGGAGGCTTGCCAGAACAGAACTGGCGGCTGGCCTGCAGACCCAGGGCCCCAGCTGGTGGTGCTCTCGGCAGCCAGTCGGGATGCTTGCTGCTCCTAAACTGGGGCAGAGTTCATTAGCTGGGGTTTACTGCAGGTGTGGTTGCTGCAGTACTTGGTTCAGGCTGGCCTGCCAACTCAGAGTCCCTGACACCACTGGTCCCAGGCACCCGATCAGTGGCCCTGAAAGTACTGGACCCAAGACAGTCTGCCTGGTCAGTGTCCCTAACCTGTGTGCTCACAGCATACCTAAACCATGCAGATGTGGGTGTTTTCCATCTCCTTCTTCCATAATATGGTTTCTACAGCATCCAGGTTCAGATCTCACTCTGCAGTATGGTCATGAATCTGTCTCCTGCATTTCAGTGGCACTTACTTCATTTATATATTTATTTATTTAGCCCTTCCCAGCAAGGCTAAAGGCAGCTTATGGTAAGTGAAAAAGAATACTTATAAAGCATGAAAATGACACAACTTAACTGGGAAACAGAATATCAACATAAGACAGAGACCCCCTAGCCCAAGCAATATCCCAGCCTAGCTAAATGGCCTGGTCAAATAGGTAAGACTTGCAGTGCTTCCAAAAGATGTTCAGGCTTAGGCTTTCAGGTTCAGGCCTCAAGTGGGAGAAAGACCCAGAGATGAGAAGTACTTGCTGAGAACAACCTCCCATGCATTTTCCCCAGGATTGTTCTTGGCTCACCTTTGGGATCGTGATGGGGTGTAAAGAAGTGAAAAAGTGGTCACTTAGGTACATAGGGCCCAAACTATTTGGAGCCTTATAGTCAAAACCAGCACCTTGAACTGCACCTGGAAAATAACTGGGAGCCAGTGAAGACTCTTAAGTTCTGCACCAGCTGCAGCTTATGAACAGTTTTCAAGACAGTCTCACAGAGGTCATTGTAATAATTCAGCCTCAAGGTTACAGAAGGCATGGATGAGGGTGGCAGATCCAAATATGAAAGAAAGGGTCACAGCTTCTTACCATATAGACTTGGTGAAAGGTGCTCCCAGTCACCACCTCCATCTGGATATCCAACCAAAGCGGGTGGGTGGTGGGGGAGGTAAGCAAGGGGCCAGGGACCAAAAAGTAGCCCAGTGTAGAAGAAGAGGGGAGCAAAGAGTTCACCCTCCATGCTGGGGCCAGTGGCTGGGTATTCCCAGCCCTGGAGCTGTGCAGGGAAAGTGGACAGAATTTCCATGCACTGGTTTGACCTAAATTGAATGAGTGTGATACTACATAGATCTGGGTTTATCTTAAAATGGGTTCTACAATTTTTAGACCAGTTTGTGTGCATGGAACTTCTGTTCAGTTACAGGTTTAGACTGATTGCTGGTTACTGAGATCAGGTCTGTAAATGTAAGGTTGTCATTGAGACGAGCTAAATTTAAATCTGATGGCCATTTTGAACCCGATTTAACTTTCTGAATGTCTGTACTTAGACACAGTCCCAGATCTTTATACAGTGAATGCTGTACTGCAGATTTGTTTATTTCTGAATAATCTGTTGTTTAGGATATTAGAAAAATAATAGCAGTTTGACACACTACTATAAGAAAAGAATTGGTGATGGTGCAATTTATAAAATCAAACCAGGATAAAATAATCCCAGGTGGGTGGAAAGTCACTGTCTTTAAAGAATGGGTCAATAAAAGATGGAGACAGTGACATACACCAAGTGTTCTTGAAGCAAACTAGGTCAATTTTGCAAGTGAAGGGTGAGAGCTGCTAACATGACTTCAGTTACTTTTCAAAATCCTTCATTACATAGCAAGGAAATAAGGGAGGAAAAGAATCATACTTATCTACCCACAATCTAACAAAGTATTTGCCACCTCCTTTAAAGCAGCAAAAAGGAGGCATTAAATGGGCTCAATTTTTGTTACTTAAAATTATTTTTCCAGTTATTAATTGCTGAACTCAAAATGACAGCAGGATCCAGGACTTTGGGATTTTTATAAGACCTGTGCTTTTGCATCAAGGTTTACCTAGGCTTCCTCTCCAGGTGTTGTACAATGGCAACTGCTAGGTTTTTTTCTCTACTTAGGTTACGGAAATTGAGGGGATTGGGCCCAAACCTGGCAGGATCCATATTTTGCCTACATTCAGTGTTTGGGAAATAAAGCTCCCTTTGAAAAAAATACTCAATCCAATTTCAACACCTGCTTTTCACACACACACATGACCACAGCATATTTAAATGTTGATGAAGCAAGGCTTTTCCATAATTGTCTATTTGACTGGACATATGCTCACTGTCTCCTTCACTGAAGCTCTGCAGGATTGACTGAAGAACGGTATATTTACAATGAATAATTAAAAACATACTGCAGTCTTGACCGTCATTATATACATATATACATAGTATGACAGATGTATATGGGAGATAGTATACTGAGACAAAAGAAGAAAGGGCAGGAAAGATTTAGAACATAAGAATGTCCATCGATAAACTGGAAGTAAGAAGGACTGGATATTTTTAGGGGGGAAAGGGGAAAGATTACTAATATTAAAGGAGACAAGGTAGTGGTCAGACAAAGAATTCAGTAATGAGGAATGAGTGGAAGGGTTCATTCAGGGCTGCACATGAAACAAAGAGGGATGGGCAATCAGCAGCACACTATTATTCAGATGCAGAATGTATTTGGACTATAAAGTCTTCCCCTTTGCAAGGTTCTTCATTGGAGAGAAAAACTTGATTTGCGTCCACTTAACTGGAAACTTACATGGATCACAAATTTCAACAAAAGTCAACTTTCTAGAGCAGAGCAAAGTGTTAACAAAAATGGGTCCTGATTGCTGTTTGCAGACCTGTGATAAAATATGGAGTTATACAAAATACTCAGGTCTACAAGACTGTAATGTTGTTGCTGTTTGTTTGCTTCAATAATTAGAGGGTATTTGTGTGCAGGCACTGGTATGTCAACAAACTTATGCTGTTCCCCCCTCTTTTGTATTTTAGAATATTGACTGACAATATATCAAAGTGCAAACATTTCACCTTGGAATTACTACTGTCAGCGCCCTCACCTCAAGTCACTCATCAGCATCCTGCTATCGAGCAGACATCCACATACTGTTTGATCACTCATACTGTATCAGTGTCAGCACCTATTTGCAACAAGTTATTAAAAACAGACCAGATGAACTCTGAATTTCTTTGTTTTAAGTAGTTTCACATTTTAACAGACCTGTAATGTCACTTTATTATAATTCAGACTTACTTTCTTTATTTTTATGATAATTTTTAGAAAAACATTATCAAAAGGAAAAATCTATTAGCATCTGTAGGCTACCTACGGAGAAGTGATAAATATTTTAGCTCCAACATGTGAAGTCTGCAGCAACCGAAACAAACATTGTCTGAAGCAACCGAAGTTCTACCTCTCTGTCCTACACCTCATTTTATTCTCTTGGAGCAGATCCTTTCTCCTTTTGCAGTCTCAATGGCATGGAAGCAAAAGCCAACCAACCGTTGCTTTTGTTTGTGTTTCTTTTTCTTAAAGTCTATAATACATGCAACCAGTTTTGAGCCAAATTGCCTCTTTTCCTCATGGTAAGTACTGCCTTCCCCCAGAAGGAGATAATCAGTTAAACTTCTTGTGGACTAAAGTACTAAGGAATGTGTAAGAGGGCCCTTCATAACTGACAGACAATGAAAAAGAAATCATTGTAATAGGAGAGGCCAGCTAATGTTAATTCTTGTTATTCACATGCTTTTTTTGCACATAACTTTTAATCTTACAATGCAGGCAGTCTGACCCTTGAATGTATACTCGGCAGTCAGAGCCAAAAGTTTATGTAATATGGTGTTACCTAGGTTAATGCAATCCAAACACAGAGGACATGTGTTTGGATGTATTACACTAGCATCAAAAATGACATTTCACTCTAAAATTATATGTAGCTCTTTCTTTTTGTGCAAAATATCCATGAGATAGCTTTCTGATTTTCAGTAGCTGAGAAAGAAGTCCCTGTACTGAAATAAGATAGAGAAGGTCTATATTTATATAAATAGTCAGCTGACCATGTGTTTACTTAAACAGAGGTAAAGGTTAACCTGGTCTTCTATCTGAGCAGAGAAAACGTTATGAGGGAATAAAAAAAAAAAATCAGAAAAATAATCACAGGCCTGCAGGCATTAATGAAAGGGCCATGTTTTAAAATGGTTGAAGCATGGCTTCCAAAGTACTGTTTTCTCTCCAAAAGAATCACTTTGACTGTTGGCAATCATTAAAATAAGAATTAAAATAAAGTAATCATTAAAATAATACTCAAGATACTCAGGGTTAGAATTACACTTTGACTCTGGTGGGGGTCTGCAAAAAAATTGGGCTGCCCATCATGAAGCCCTAAAAAACTCAAAGACCCCCCAGGTTATTATTTTCAAATTGTATAGGGGGTCTCTCATCTCTTATGGGGGGGCTCAACCTTTCCCCCCCTTAAGCTGCCCCATAATTTGAATCCTTAAAATACTAATATTAGACTGATTTGTGTTGAACTAATGATTCAGTATGACACTCTGGGGTGCTTGCCTAACTGGCAATGCCGTCTTTCAAATCAGAAATGACTATGATGTCATACATATTTCTGAGCATTAAAAATCCCGTGTTTTTTCTATGATTAAGCTACAATTTGGTCCTGCTTTGAGCAGGAGGTTGGACTAGATGACCTCCAGAGGTCCTTTCCAAACCTAACTTTCTATGATTCTATGAGTTTCTATGAATACTCACAGTTTGTCTCCCTACTTTGAAATGTAGTTATTGCTTATGGCATCTTTCACTTCCTCGTTCTCCCTTTTCCCTTTACCTCAGGTGCTGCATCTCACTCCAGAAGTACCTGCATTTGAAGATGCGGATCAAGTGAGCCGTGGGCATAAACATGCAAGAAAACATCTTCTTGGCTGTGGAGCCAATAAGACAAATTGGTTTGTCTTACTGGCAAATCTCTCTTAGGGACAGGTGACAGGTTACTTTCTTTCAGAAATGCTGCCATAATAAGAATGGTTAGCTATGTGCATAGCATAGGTGAAACCATATTACATTGCCAAGAAAAAATACAAACTGTTTCTGCTTGGTGCACTTTTTTGCTTTAACTTGTTTTAAATGCCTGGCCAGATTGCCACCATCCCTTTGAAGTAGGTGTTGTACTAAAGGTGCTTGAACATTTACATTTACTCCAGGTTTGATATAGGCTGCTTTGTAGGAAGAGAGCTGCGTGCACAGAAAGAAGTTGTTTTACGCTGGTCACCAGGACTTTATTTTAAGGTGACTTACTGTCTCTGCCGAAGCACCTGTTGGTTGCTTATGGGTGTTAAAAAAAAGACCCCCACCGAACCCACATCCAGATGACTTATACCCAGTCCAGGAGGTTGAAATAAAGCCCTAGCTGTGAGCACTCCTGTACGGGAGATGGGAAATGGAGATACACAGCCAAATACTTCCCAAATCCTGGGAAGAGGCCTGAGAGCTGCCAACCGGGACTGGAGCCAAGAGGCCCAGCTTCTGATTCTCATCTCACTTCTCATGTGGACATGTGCGTGTGTGTCAGACCGTGTGTGTATGAAAGAGAGAGGTATCCAGGTTGTAGCCATGTTGGTCTGGAGCACGGGCTTTCAATCCCTGGGCCGGGCCACGATGGGTCAGCTGCTGGTTCACAGCACAGTTGGCTGCCGGACTGGAAGTGGCCGTGGACCAGCAAACCGTGGCCCCCCAAAGCCGGGCAGAGAGGCCTACCCGCCTGCCCAGGGGCTGGGGGTATCCTTACCCATCTGTGACTGCTGGGCCGCGGTTGCCGGGGTTGCAGCATAAAAACTGGGAAACCCTGGTCTAGAGGAAAACGCAATCAGGGCTCATGGGACAGAGGTGATTTCTTTTATTAGACCCACCAGATTTTTGCAAAAAAAGAAAAAAGTTCTGCGAAAGAAAATTTAAGATTTTTGGTTTTTTGGTAAAAGTCTTGCTGGCCTAATAAGAGATACCACCTCTGTCCATGAGCCCTGATTATACAAGCGAGAGGAAGGGAAAGCCGCTGCAGGGGCAGTGAGTGTGTGTGGGTGTGAGAGAAACTGTGTGTGTGAAAGAGAGGAAGAAAAAGACCCTTCTGGGGCCGCGCGTGTGCTAGAGCGCCTGGAGGAGCGCCGAGGAGAGAAAGCCCCCGCGGGGCGGGCGGGGCGAGGCGGAAGAGGAGTGCCCCGCTCAGGCAGTGCTTGTGTGAGAGAGGCGAGGAGATAAGGCCCGTGCGGGGCTGTGGGTGTGTGCAGGTACGTACGTGTGTCAAGTGTCCGTGCACGTGAAGAACGAGGACTAGAAACCCCCGCCGGGCTGCGCGCAGCATCAGGTCGCGGGGGGCGAGGGCTCGGGCCCAGGGCGGGAGCGGCTTGGCCGGGCTGC